GTCTCCATTGCCATTATTTCACTGGAGGTACGGCAAAATTCAATCGAAATTTACACCCCTCTTTTCGTGATACTCGGGTGGAGAAAGGGAACTAAATTGAATATTCACAAGTGATGCACGCATCCCTCCAGAAGGACTGGCGCACCAATGAGGGAACGGATATTAATCCCCATCCATACGATCTGAGCGGCGAATTGGCTCTCCAATGAGGGAAGTGCGACTGTTATGAGCCCCTTTGATGCGATCAAAGCGGAATGCGCCTCTGAAAAACGAAAACGTGGTGGAGAACGGAGGTGATGATGGGGATGTCGCATGCACCTTGACAACTTGTAAGAACGGCCCACCTTGAAATCCGTCATTCCATTCTTGATATTCTCCTGAAGGTTGACGATATCTTGAATTATCACACTAATGTGAACAAAGCATCCGATAATGGTGACGATGACAGCTACAGCGCAAATTCCCAGAGGCATGTGACATTCCTAAAATTAACAAAATATCTGACTCTTTATTTATTCATTTCATTTACTTGTTTATTTATCAAGCTATTAATTTATAATTGCCATAGTATTGGTGCCTTCAAACAGAAGCATAGAAAAAAGTTTCAGAAGACTCATGTGTTGGAATTCAGAAAGATGGAAAGCTGCTAGCTGAGGTTTTGAGTAAAGAAATGGAAGCTCTGAATAGGCTGCTAAGCTATAGTGGTAAGTGGCCCGCTTACCAAGAGCACGGTCCGTCAGTCAAGCTCTGGATTGGCTCGGCCAACCAGGCCTTCTACCCGGTTACGGTAATTGGTAACAGTTCTTTTGCGACGGTGAAAATATCAACTTGAACATTAGCTGACGCCCGCGAGTCAGCATTACCACAAACTTCAAACTGCCAGTAAGTTTCTGAAAGGAAATAGAATGCGTGCCGCATCTCAAAAGAGAGTGGAAGCTTGACACGTGCAGCCTCTCGTACCTTCCTAAGGTAAATTCTGCGAAAACCACGTTTGGAGCCCCATAAGT